TACTTTCCAATAGGAATTTGCTTATTTGTAACAAAAGTTCGTAGGTAGAATTTGGTTTGTTTCATGACAATATGAGTACTAATATGTATTTAAAATAACATTGGGCAACTAATTATGTTTGCAAAAGTTGGTAATTTATTAGAACTAAGTTATGTGTTCGGGAATCGGGCATATGTCCAAAATCCTCTTACACTAGACATTGGTAATTAATATGCATGAATCAGAAACAATGATCATAGAATTCATTAGTGTAGCTGGGAGCTCTTGGTTGGGCATAAGGAGTATAGGGGTTTGTGCTTCAAGAATTATAGTGCTTTAATGAGGCTTTATTAGGCAAAAACTTTGGAGGTTAATACAAAATCTAATTTGTTGGTTAGTATAAGATTCTAAATTGTAAGTATTTTTTGGAATCAAAGCCTTCTAGACGCTAAAGTCTAGACATATTGATTCTTCTTGGCTTTGGAAGAGCTGATGAACTGCTAGGGACTCTCTTATGATAGGGGCTAGATGTCAGGTGGGTGATGGAAGGTAAATTAAAATTTGAGATTCTCCTTGGATGCCAAATCAATTCTCTTTTAAAACTTCTTGTATTTTGAGATTATAAGTCTAAGTTAACTTGGGTAGTGAGTTGATTCTGCAGGGCGGTGAGGGCTAGGATGATGATTTAGTTAGGCATACTTTCAACCCTTTTGATGTTGATTTTATTTTAAGAATTCCCTTAAGCCAGTTAGGTATGAGAGACAAATTGATATGGCACGAGAATAAGTGAGGAAGTCAATCTGTGAAGGAAGTCTACAAAGCCATCATGTCATACCAAAATCAGACTATTCAGAATGAAGACACCAGCTCTGGGTTAACAAAATGAAAAAGAAATGTGGAGAGCTACCTAGAAACTAACAATTTCAAGGAAGATCATGAACTTTATTTGGAGGTGCTAACATGGTTTTATCAATACAAACTTAAAGCTGCAAAGAAGAAGGGTGGAGGTGACAAACGGGGGTTGACGGGTGCGGTCCCACGGACGAAGCGCACCAAATCAGGGAAACCCAAATGAAGTCCAAGTGAGGTTCCATCCCAAAACTAATTGGTGGTAGGAGGAGTAGCCCACTAGGCTTATAATTTAGGCCTATTTTCCCTGTATAGACGATGTGGGACAACTCACAAGTGTATATTCTAACATCCCCCCTCACTTGTAAGTCCTTCGGAAGCCCAAGCCCAACTAGGCTGGGTGACGGGTACGTCATTGCACGGTCCTACGTAGTCCCAAGCCCAACTGGGCTGGGTGAACCGGCTCTATACCATGACAAACGGGGGTTGACGGGTGTGGTCTCACGGACGAAGAACACCAAATCAGGGAAGCCCAAGTGAGGTTCATCCCAAAACCAATTGGTGGTAGGAGGAGTAGTACACTAGGCTTATAAAACACTAGGCTTATAAATTAGGCCTATTTTTCCTGTATAGACGATGTGGAACAACTCACAAGTGAATATTCTAACAGAAGGTGGATGTAATTTGTGGAGGTGTGTGGTCAAAGGGGAGAAAATCTAGAGCATGCGTTATTCAGTTGTGACACAACGAACAAATGTTGGAGATTCTTTGGTATCAGTGGGACTATCGTGAAGACAGAGAAGTGAAGTTCAAAAAGTGGCTGGGGGAATTTGCAGAATAGGTGGTGGTAAGAATGTAGTTGATAGGATAAGTCTATCCACATACCTATTACGGTAGTTGTGGAAGACTAGAAATATTTGGATTTTTAGTAAGGTGTGTGTTGGTGAAAATGGCTTTCNGTCGGGCCTCCGACTCTCAAGTCAATATCACTCCAAAACTCCAAATCCCAAGAGTATAGTTATGAATGTAGAAAGAATTAGATACCTTAGCCCCTTTTATAGGGGGAGTGTACCTTATGACCCAAGTTGGGCTTGTCCAATACCATCATGCCACGTGTCCTAGCCCCATGTGTAGGCTTATTCTCCAATATATTCTCTTTTTATCCATTAAAATTGGTCTAGTATAATATCATATATTAGTGTGGACTGAGGAGGTTGATTTGGTGAAAAGAGCTAGGAGGGATTGGTTGGATTACATTGATTGTTAAATGGAAACATAAGAGGTGGTGGGTAGTAGTATTGTTGTTTGTGAACCCATTGCAGAAAGAGTACAGCACTTGGTTTTTAGTGTCAATGCCCACTGGTCTATGACTGGCTCAGCTGGGTTTGGATGTTGTTTTCAGAAAGAAGGGCTACAACTTTACAACTGGATGTAGGTCTTTGAAAGGGTGAACAACAAAGAGGAGACATATTTTAAAACTGTAAAGTGGAGTTTCCAAAAGTTGATTTCAAAAGTCGATCAAGGAAGGAGCTTAGAAGTTTGTTGTAGTTTGTAGTCAATCTCCATCGTAAGATAGCTAAACTCCAGAGCAGATCCTCCTTTAGTGGTTGCAGCTATAGCTTCTGATATTTTTACTCATGTGATTATTTAACTCTTGTGTATTTATAGTGGATAAAGGAGCTTGTGTTTAATTGTTTATTCTGATTTGTTGGTCAAAAAGGTCGTGAAGAGGGAGTAATATGCTTGTCCCTTGTTTATCATGTTTCTTAGTCTTTGTGGGCTAAGATTGGTGGTATGTTCCATTTGATTGCTCGAACATGGTGTATTTGGTTGTTAGAGTTTTATGAATGTTTGTTTGATGTTGGACCAAAAAAAAAAAAACTCAAATAATGGAAATCTAGTAATCACAATTTATGGGTGTATTCGTTTGAAATTTCGAGTGATATTTTAAGACTTTTTGATAATTGAGACTTTAAAATTTTCAGATTTAGGAGGAATATGTGAAATCTTAAGACTTGATGTGCGATTTGGAGTGAGATTTCATATAAGATTTTTTTCTTTTGTAATTCCAATAAATCTTAAAAAGTTTTAGCAAAGACATTAGAATTTTTTATGTTTTCAAAAAAAAATTTACAAATCCAAAATGAATATACCATCCACCCAACATAACTAATACAACATGGCCTTGTGTTAGGGGGGGAGGGGGTGGGGTCCCGGCGTCGGGCCTCCGACTCTCAAGTCAATATCACTCCAAAACTCCAAATCCCAAGAGTATAGTTATGAATGTAGAAAGAATTAGATACCTTAGCCCCTTTTATAGGGGGAGTGTACCTTATGACCCAAGTTGGGCTTGTCTAATACCATCATGCCACGTGTCCTAGCCCTATGTGTAGGCTTATTCTCCAATATATTCCCTTTTTATCCATTAAAATCGGTCTAGTATAATATCATATATTAGTGTGGACTGAGGAGGTTGATTTGGTGAAAAGAGCTAGGAGGGATTGGTTGGATTACACTGATTGCTAAATGGAAACATAAGAGGTGGTGGGTAGTGGTATTGTTGTTTGTGAACCCATTGCAGAAAGAGTACGGCACTTGGTTTTTAGTGTCAATGCCCACTGGTCTATGACTGGCTCAGCTGGGTTTGGATGTTGTTTTCAGAAAGAAGGGCTACAACTTTACAACTGGATGTAGGTCTTTGAAAGGGTGAACAACAAAGAGGAGACATATTTTAAAACTGTAAAGTGGAGTTTCCAAAAGTTGATTTCAAAAGTCGATCAAGGAAGGAGCTTAGAAATTTGTTGTTGTTTGTAGTCAATCTCCATCGTAAGATAGCTAAACTCCAGGGCAGATCCTCCTTTAGTGGTTGCAGCTATAGCTTCTGATATTTTTACTCATGTGATTATTTAACTCTTGTGTATTTATAGTGGATAAAAGAGCTTGTGTTTAATTGTTTATTCTGATTTGTTGGTCAAAAGGGTCGTGAAGAGGGAGTAATATGCTTGTCCCTTGTTTATCATGTTTCTTAGTCTTTGTGGGCTAAGATTGGTGGTATGTTCCATTTGATTGCTCGAACTTGGTGTATTTGGTTGTTAGAGTTTTATGAATGTTTGTTTGATGTTGGACCAAAAAAAAAAAAACTCAAATAATGGAAATCTAGTAATCACAATTTATGGGTGTATTCGTTTGAAATTTCGAGTGATATTTTGAAACTTTTTGATAATTGAGACTTTAAAATTTTCAGATTTAGGAGGAATCTGTGAAATCTTAAGACTTGATGTGCGATTTAGAGTGAGATTTCATATATGATTTTTTTCTTTTGTAATTCCAATAAATCTTAAAAAGTTTTAGCAAAGACATTAGAATTTTTTAAGTTTTCAAAAAAAAAAATTTACAAATCCAAAATGAATATACCATCCACCCAACATAACTAATACAACATGGCCTTGTGTTAGGTCAACTTTACTATTATGTCGACATACTTATTTTAACAAATGTGCATACTCATTAGAAAATATCATATGTTACAAAACAACACAAACATAAGTACAATATTTGATAACATAAATATTTATTTTTGTTCAAATAGTATGATGAGTCAGTGCACCTAATGATTAGTCTACCTCACACACAAGTTTGTGAGCAAAATAACATAAAACTTCAAAGATTTATTTTTTGCAATGAGTTAGAAAAATAATATCTTGAAGATGTAGTCTTGCAAGCAAAGCAAAATATAAAGGGAAGATCATCTTGCTTTATTCTACAAAAATATGAACACATTCAAAGATCTTATACTGTGTTCATATTTTTGTAGGATTTTCTGTTGCATGGAATGCATGGAATCGATGCATATGAGAAGAAGAGAGAGACGAAGATTCCTTCCTTGTCTTGGAGATTTAGAAGATCACAAGGAGAAGGAGCTTGGTCCATTGAAGGAAAGAAGGTTTTGATGTATTACCGTCGAAGGAGTTGAATATATATATATATATATATATATATATATATATATATATATATATATATATATATATATATAACCTACTCGAAGATCAATTGAAGGTTGTTGATACATCAAGATTACTTTTAGCATTCAATTGAGAGCTCGAGAGTTTTTGTCTTTTCAGTTATTCTTTGTTTAGATCTCAGTACTTCAGTGTTCTTACACCATTGAAGAACTGAGGTTTTGATTCCTTTGTTTTTATAATTTTGTTAAACACTTTCTCATAGTACTTAGGGGTTAAGTACTGGTTAGCTCGAGGGATTCGTAGTTGTTTAAGTCCATGCCTGTGTGGCTAGAGAAGTAGCTGTTATGATCGCGTATAACTTTGGCTAGGCTATGAGGGGGTCCAAGCCGCATAAGACCAAACTGCACATCCGTGCATAAACGATCTATTAATGAAAGATCTCTGAGGGGTAGTGGGACGCCTCCCGAAGAATTTTTATCTTCTTTTGTGCTTCCACAATTTATTTTATCTCTGTGTCGCAATACAACTGCCTACTCTACGCCATATCCTCGTTTCAAAACTATTACATAGTTAATACTAGAATTAATGAAATAATAAATATTAATCACGATTGAGTAATTGCTTGGTTGTTCCTTAATTAGCAAGTCCAGTACCATTCATGTATAAATGATCTGGGTCATAACAATATAATTGTAAGTGTAAGAAATTGTCAATGATCACAGAAGATATTGCCAAATCTCAGTTGTTCAAATTTTCTTACTTTTGTGCCATACATATGCATAGGATCATACATACACTTCTCCCATACCATATCTATAAATCAAACAAAAACTCTCCAATCAGAGCCTGCTACAAACTTTTGTCATTGTCTCAAGAATCTCTCTTTTTCTGGTCCCCTTTTTCACAAGGCTCTCACATTACTTCTTCACACTTTCCATCATAAACAAAAATCCTATCAAGATAGAAGACTCATTGTTTGTTTTTCTTTTAAAGGAAATTATGGCTGAAACACACACTTTTTTGCTGATGATCTTCACATTGCTTATGCTAATCCAACTAACCTTCTCATGGAAAGCAACCCCACCATTGCCAATTTTGCCCCTGCCATCATATTCCCAGTTAAAATGGCAGCAAAGGGAGATCATAATGTTCCTTCATTTCGGCGTCAACACCTTCACGGGCTCTGAATGGGGTACTGGGCAGGAAAGCCCATCTGTTTTTAACCCAACGGGCCTCGATGCCAACCAATGGGCCGATGCTGCGGCCCAAGCCGGTGTCTCGTTGATGATACTCACGGCCAAGCATCATGATGGGTTTTGCTTGTGGCCTTCAGAGTACACTGATCACTCTGTGATTAGAAGCCCTTGGAAAAATGGCCGTGGAGATGTTGTGCTAGAGTTTGTTAACGCAGCCAAGGCCCGTGACATAGATGTGGGCTTGTACCTTTCGCCGTGGGACCGTCATGACCCAAGATATGGACACGTGGAGCTTTACAATGAGTACTATTTGGCTCAATTGCAAGAACTTCTCAACAGGTGAAGCTAATTGTGATTGTTTTGGTACATTCTATAGTAACACATATATCTATGTAAGAGCGTGTAACATGTGTGTGATTAGGATATGAACTAATTTGGTGTATGCTTGGATTTTGCAAATGGCACCCAATGGATAGAGTAATTTGCAATCTAGGACTTGTAGTTGAATTTGATTATGATGATTATGATTATCATTTAGTAAAAATATCTAATTTTTTTTAAATTAGCACAAATCAATAATTTGAAGTGATTAGGTACGGAAATGTGAGAGAGATATGGTTCGATGGGGCAAAAGGGTCGAATGAGACGAACATGACGTATTTTTTCGAAGATTGGTTTTCAATGGTGAAGGAGCTGCAGAGCACGATCAACATATTTTCGGACGCGGGCCCGGACGTCCGGTGGGTCGGGAACGAGAAGGGCTACGCGGGAAGCACTTGCTGGTCCACCATTAACGCCACGTCATTATCGATAGGCAAAGCTAGCATTACTGGGTAAGTATCATTAATGAAAAACCTATACTGTGTATTCAATCGGGATTTCAAGTAACATTTTGAGATTTTTTAGGATTTGAAATTTGTTAACATTTCCAGATTTTAGAGAAATTCTGTGATATCCTAGGTCTGGAGGTGAGATTTGAAGTAGGATTTTGTATAAGATTTTTTATTTAGAAATCCCATCAAATCTTAAAAAGTCTTATCAAATCCTAATGTCAAATAAATTAAATACCTCAGGATTTTGTAAGACTTTTTAAATCCCAATTGAATACTCTAAAATTTTTAAAAATATTAAAAAGTCCTCAGAAATCTTAATTGAATACACCACTTAATTGAGTGATTATTATATTAGCATGAATTATGAACTATATATTTAAGTAATTTTTTTTTTTTCCAGTTATCTCAACACTGGGGATTCAAGAGGGACTAATTGGCTGCCAGCAGAATGTGACGTTTCCATCAGAGAAGGCTGGTTTTGGCATAAATCACAAGAGCCCAAAAACCTAAGTGAACTGCTACAAATTTACTACAACTCCGTGGGTCGAAACTGCGTTCTGCTACTAAACGTGCCACCAAACACCACCGGTTTGATATCCGAATCCGATGTACAAAGACTGAAACAATTCAGAGGAGCAATCGACACGATATTTTCCTCTAATTTGGCCGAAAATTGTTCACTCGAAGCAAGTAGCCAACGCGGGGTTAGAGGTGGAGGCTTTGGGCCCGAAAACGTTTTGGACGACGACCACTTGTGGACCTATTGGGCCCCGAGGGAGGAAGATAAAGAAAACTGTTGGATTGAGATGAGGCCCAAAAGTGGAAAGGTTAAGTTCAATGTGGTTAGGATCCAAGAGGCAATAGGATTAGGGCAGAGGATTAAGAAACACGAGATTTACGTTGATGGGATTAGGGTCGCGAAAGGGAGCACGGTTGGGTATAAGAGACTTCACAGACTTGAAATGGGAGTTGTGAATGGGTCTAGTGTGAGGATTAAGATTGTTAAAGCAAAGGGAGTGCCTTTGATTTCCTCTTTAGGGCTCCACTTTGATCCCTTTTGGAACACAAACTAGCTTTCCACATTATATTTCTCATGTTAAGGCTGTTTGTTACTGTGTACACAAAAGCCATGAATAAAAGCAGCAGATATCAAAAGGTGAGAGTCACAAACAAGTGGAAACAATTATGATTTGAGCATGTATTCCAACTTCATTNCCGAGTTGCACTTTCGTCCTTTAATATTAAAGGACGAAAGTGCAACTCGGGTATAATTAGTGGACGAATAGTGCAATTTTTCACTATAAAAATTTTAACAAAACACATTAAATTTATTCTCCGTTCTTGACATAGAAACTAGTACAGTATCTCTCTACATCATAATGTTTGTGACTATTCAAATAAGTAGAAAGGCAAGCTCTAAAAGGAAACAGGTGATCACACTGGTTTCATATGGGAAAAAGCATAGTAATGTGATTATTCTATTCTGTATTTATTTGTTCATTTGATTTGTTGATAATCCTGGAAGTAGCACGAAGATGGAGGCCTCCATCTATCTGCAAAGTCAACATGGTTCGGTAATTCACCGGTTTTGTCTCGTCAGCTAACTTAAACGAAAAGGCACTTAGCAACATGGCTGCAATAACTTTCGTCTGTCTGTATGCAAACTCCTTCCCCAGACAGATTCTCGGGCCAGCCTACAGTAGCAGATAACCGATTATTGCACATTATTATTATTCACGAAAAAATAATGCACATTTTTTTAATATTCGAGCAAGTCAGCTTACCTGAAATGCTGTGAATTTGAAAGAGCTCTGTTGCTGAAAGACACCATTTTCATCGAGCCACCTCTCTGGCCGAAACTCCTCTGCATCTTCACCACACAAAGATTTCATTCTTCCCATAGAGTAAGGTACATAAGACACCAAACACCCCTTCTTATTATAAAACTCAGTATTATGTCCTTTAGGTACTTGGGGTCCTTTTGGTCCATTTGCAGAAACCTCGACAGTATATCACTCCTGTTCGTCTGCCGTTCATTCCAAAACACACGTTACGTCGATTTTCTTCATTAAAAAAGCATAATAATTTATTTTATTGAAAAAATAATTTTAAATAAAAATATTTGACTTGGTTGGGCTTGCTCATCTGTTCCATCTTGCTCTCGATGACCTTGTAAACAAATGCATTGACGATTTTGATGCATTCCTTGACTTTGGCTTCAGACCCGATGTTGAGAAACTTCTTGATCGGCCATAACATGTCTATGTAACGATAACATGTAATCTCACTTGCTTTGTCAAAAGCCTCCGAAAATTGCGAACCATCATTCGTCCTGCACGTGCTGTCCAGGTCGACACTGAGAACGACCTTGAAAACCGTGTCCAGTGCCGATTTCATCAACAATGCCTGCGAATTAGACATTTACAGTTTTATTTATGATGATTGAATAAGATGATTGTTATTAACAAGAAAACAGAATGTATGTAGTGACCTGGATTTCAATAATTTGATTCGAATTCGCAGCTGCCGAAATAATGTGGGCTAAATTTGCGGCAGTGGACTTGAAGACGCCACAGCTAAAGTCTCTGAGGTTTCGGGTTGAGAATTCGTAACTGGACAACTTTCTTTGCTGTCGCCATTTTTCGCCATCGACAGTGAAGATACCATCTCCTAGAAGGCTCTCCAAGACATCGTGGTGGAGTGAATCCTACAATTTAGTTAGGCTATATCAGTATCTTGTACGCAATGACAATAATAGCAGTCATTTTCATGAAATAATAGCCAACAACCTTTAACATTTTGGGGTTATTACCCAGGTCAACTTCGGCTGATAAACTGCAATATAAAGCCAGTATCTTTTTACGCTATGACAATAATAGCCGTTGAATTTGGTCGGACTTGGGTATTAACCCCGAAATTTTAAAAGTTATTGGCTATTATTGCGAATTTCATAAAAATAGTAGCTATTATTGCTACTACAATTAAACCATTTGGTTAACATGCATTTAATCATGTGAAGAGATAATGGTTATAAGATTATACATTAAATTAATATCAAAGCCTCGTAATGGAGATTGTGCATTCAGTTTCGATGCAACTAAACAGAGATATTTGCAGCTAAAAAACATATTGACCACTATAAAGCATACCTTTCCGTAGTTTGCAAAGTTGGTCTTGAGGAAAAGGATTCGGAAAGTGGTGTTTTTGTGAGTGAGGTCTGTAAGATAGTCATAGAGCCTGTTGAAATTGAGGATGAGGTGAAAAATGGTGCACCCAACAGGATGGTACCTTTATTATCCTTCTTCAAAAGCACCATCTTTATCAGAAATGCTGCAAGAACTGCAATCAGAACTGGGAAAAGTAATGGGTTAATATTCAAGAAATCCATCTTTTTGCTGCAGATTCTACAAACCAATACTGTTTTTTTTGACCATATATGCATGCATCGTTATGCCTATTTATATAATTTAGGGATTTATTTAATTATATTATTTTCGTAAGGTCCGTATAACGCGTTTCTGCAAATGCTTAACTGAGAAGTAATAAATGAAGACTTACTAATTATGTATAGGAAAGTGTAGTAGAGCTAATTACGATACTAAACTAGTACGTAGCCCGTGCGATGCATGTGATAGAAGTATTAAATGAGTTATTTCCATAGAGTTTATCCGTTAAGTAGCTCGTGCGATTCACGGGAGATATTAAATGAGTGGACCATAGAGTTTGATCATCTATCTTTTTACATCTTTTCATCAACGTCATTTTTTTTTTGTCAGAACATTAAACCTGAGTCTGGTAGCGCTAGATCGTAAATTAATTAATATATTATCTCGCTCACATGTTTATAATAATATATATTTGATTTCATTATATATATTTATTCCTTGATATAAGAAAAATAACAATTTTACGTAATCTGGTTCCTCGTATAATACTCATATTATTTTATTATAAAATTTATTGTAATATAATGTCATTATTATTATTATTTATACAAGTTATAGATGTAGTCTTCTTCTTTTTTTTTGTGTTATGTGATTAAAGTATTTAATGTATGTTCATATTATTTATTAATGTAATTAATTTAAATTATGTAAATAAATTTGAAGTAAAACATTTTGTACAAACATTTTACAAAATATACACAAATGTAACAAAATATACTTGAATTCTATGCAATTATTATTTTGTCTGATTTTATGGCAAACAATTCATTCGAGATTTTAATGTAAAAAAATCATAAGAAATTTTAATATTTAAATTTAAATTTGAAATGAGACATATTTTTACTTAAAGTTTATCTGTCCGATTTTATTGCAAAACACATCAATTAAGGATGAATTAATGTCTTTTAGCAATAAAACAATAATACAATTGAAAGAAATTGATAGAAATAGAATGCATTAATTGTCCTCTGACTTTTCTTGCTACTAATTTTAGTAAATAGGATGACTATTTATATATACTAACGCGTAGCCCGTGCGATGCACGAGATGCTATATTTTCCTGAAATATTTGTCGTATGAAATATTAAAAATAATATAATTTATATATATGTAACAAAAATAAATAGATTGCAAAGAAGGGAAAAAAATATAAACTATTGAACACTTTCTTTGTGAAGTAAAATTTGTGAAGCTTTGATATATTTGATTATGAATAGAAAAGTATGAAATACTACCACGGACCGTTGAGATAGATGAGAAGATTTATTTAGAATATATAAAATAAATATTGAGATAATGATTTACCTTTTACCTAGTATATATAAAATAAATATTGGCATGATGTGAGAAAATTATGATGAATTATGACAATAAATTCGTTTAAATGTTAGTAGAAAATATTCAAAAATTCGATTTTTTTTTAATCCTTACAGTAATTCGTACGCTCCTTTTCATATACTTGATTTATCAATATTACACATACAAATCAAATTAATGCAACTCGAAATATTATATAATAAATAAAATGAGAATTTTTATCGAATATTTAGTATATTGCCGGAAAATTTTTTATAAATCTTATTCTCTTTTTATGCACATAGATACTAAAAAATGTGTAAAAAAATTATTTAAATATGTTTAAAAGTATCTAATATTATATTTGTTAACAATATTACAACCAAAAAATATTAAGAATACGTAGACTATTATATAACATGTATGAAAGTATTAAAATATTTTTTATTATTATTGAAAAATGTGAAATTACCTCAATTTTGTCTGACTATTTTATAAGACAAATATATATACTTAAAGTTAGCATATACAAATATATATATATATATATATATATATATATATATTCTTTAAAATTTGCCCAACCAACATGTTTAAAAGTATATACAATTTTATATATAAAAACACGTTTAAAGTTTACATATTTCACATAAATTAGACTGCTCTCAGTTTAAATAAAGTTTGTTGCTGCGATTGACTACCTCCAGTGTATGTGCCATTTCTTTTTCTTTGTATTTCTGATATTCTTTTTTTCTGTATTTCGAATCTTATAAGAGTTGGAGAATATGATAAAAAATAGTATCTATATATATAGGATTATCTTTCAAATTGGCGTGCATAAAATAAGGAAAAGGTGCACTCTACGTTTTGCACAAAATATAGCACATGTTTTAATAATTAGAAAATTTGTTATAAGATGTTTCAGATTGAAAATGCGTGAACAAATATTATATATTATATTGCATAAAATATGGGAATTTGTTTTGCACTGAAATAAATCCAAATGATTTGCAAGAAAATTGGATTTTTTTTTTTTAATCTATAAACCAAACTGTTATCATAATTGGCCACGTACTAAAATTCCATAAATTTCTCAACTGAACAGATTTTAAATGCGAAACCGTGAAATGAATTTAACTGCGTGAAACTCGGCTTAACCGATTTTAATTGCGTGAATTATGGATGACTTTTCCCTGTTATAAGAAAAATCTAAAAATCTAACAAATTGCGAAAACCAAACAAAAATACAAATTTTTAAACATGTTCCACAATTAGTAAGTTGTAGCCCGTGCGATGCACGATATGGTATATTTTCCTAAAATGTGTAACGTGTGAAATATTAAAATTAATATAATTTATATATATGTAACAAAAATAGATGAAATGCAAAGAAGAAAAAAAAATATAAATTATTGAATACTTTCTTTGTGAAGTAAAATTTGTGAAGCTTTGATATATTTGATTATGAATAGAAAAGTGTGAAATACTACGTGCTACTGAGAAAATTATGACATAAATTCGTTTAGCAGTTAATAGAAAATATTTCAAAAATTAGATTTATTTTTTTATTTTTTAAATCCTTACAGTCACTCGCTCTTTTATTGATTTATCAATTTTTACACATATAAATCAAAATTAATGCAACTCGAAATATTATATAACAAATAAAATGAGTTTTTTTTTATTTAACATTTAGTATATATATTGTCCGAAAAACCTTTTATAAATCTTATTCTCTTTTTATGCACATAGATATTAAAGAATGTGTAAAAAAATTATATAAATATGTTTAAAAATATCTAAATATTATATGTGTTAACGATATTACAACCAAAAAAACATTAAGAATACGTGGACTATTATAATATATGTGAGAGTATTAAAATATTATATATTATATTGAAAAATATGAAATTACCTCAATTTTTTCTAGACTATTTTATAAGAAAAATATATATATTAAATATATATGTTTAAATGTATCCTTAAAATTTGCCTAATCAACATGTTTAAAAGTATATACAATATTATATGTAAAAAGACGTTTAAATTTACATATTTTACATAAATTAGACTGTCTCAGTTTTAAATAAGGTTTGTTGCTACGATTGACTACATCGAGTGTATCTCACAATAGTGCCATTTTTATTTTCATTGTATTCCAATATTTTTTTCTCTGTATTTCGAATCTTGTAAGAGTCGGAGAATATGATAAAAAAAAATGGTATCTATATATATAGGATTATCCTTAAAATATCCTTAAAATTTGCCTAATCAACATGTTTAAACGTACATACAATATTACACGTTTAAAGTTTACATATTTTACATAAATTAGATTGGTCTCAATTTTAAATAAGGTTTGTTGCTGCGATTGACTACATCGATTGTACCTCACAATACTGCCGTTTTTATTTTCATTGTATTCCGATTTTTTTTTTCTGTATTTCGAATCTTATAAGAGTTGGAGACGATGATAAAAAAAAATGGTATATGTATATATAGGATTATCTTTCAAATCGGCGTACATAAAATAATGAATCGTTGTATTTTATGTTCACATGTTTTAATGATTAAAAAATTTGTTATAAGATATTTTAGTATAGATTGAAAGCGTGTGAACAAATTATATATTATATTGCATTTTTATGGGAATTGATTTTGCACTGAAATAAATCCAAACGATTGACGAGAAAAGTGGTAAAATTCCATAAATTTCTCGCTTGAACAGATTTAAATGCGAAACTCGTGAAATGAATTTAACTGCGTGAAACTCGGCTGAACTGTTTTATATGCGTGAATTATGGATGACTTTCCTCTGTTATAAANTAAATTGCGAAAATCAATCAAAAAATCTGGATTTTAAAAAAGCTTCCACAATTAGTAAGTCAAAGTTTTGACTCAATTATTTTTATTTTCCAAAAAAAATTTAACATCTAATCTTTTCAGATATATATAGATTGGGACTCCGTATTCACAAAAAGCTAAAAAAGTCAAATAAATGGTCGGGAGCCACTATATAAAAGGTTAGTCAATGTTACAAATGGTGAAAAATCAAATGAATTGACAAGATGATAAAGGTTGGTAATAAAAAATGCATGTCGTCACAGATGACATATCGTTCAGTACGAGACAAATTGTTCATCACAAAATCTTGTTGATTTGGTATTTTTTTTTTAATTCGTGTATGTATGCAATCTTTTTGTGAATGAACAATGCTACATGTACAATTGTAATTTACAATATTATTTGATAATATAATTAAAAGTATTATTAACTCAAATCTTAACTACACATTTATTTGTATTTCAATCACCCACATTATGTCACATCATGTTCATTGAATGTTGTACAAAAAAGTTGTACAAATAATTTTTTTCCTTATGAATGCTCAGTCAGTTGTGCAAGCACGGTCGTGACCCATGAGTGTTTGTCTGGTTTCGCCAGAATTGTAATATTTATCTTCAGGTAATTAGTGGTCGTATGAAAATTCCTCAATTGAAGTCATTGATATTATGTCATTTTATGGTTGGAAAATAAATATTTTGCCCGCCCAATTGACAACCAATTTCCCATCCATTTACGTCTTAAATTTTCCTATTGATGAGGTTTCCGGATAAATACAAAAAAGACATATAACAAACAAATAAATCTACGCGGAATTCCAATTCATATAAGTTGGGTAGCTAGCAACGTTTTGGTAATCGTTGTTAGAATATCACTTGTGAGTTGTCCCACATCGTTTATATATGGAAAATAGACCCACTCTTTTCACCAATTGATTTTGAGATGGAACCCCATTTAGACTTCATATGAGCTTTTCCCTTTTTTCATGGTAGTGGGCCAATACCCCAACACTCTTTTTCCCCCACTTTCTGTCAGTTACGAGTGGCTTGGCATCTCTATTATAAAAATAGAGAGTTATGATTTTCATTATAATCACATGTCCTATATATATGTGTGTATAAATCTAAATGATAACAATTATTACAACGATAATTCAATTACAGCAGAAGAAAAATAATAATTTATATTTTACATAATTAATTCAATTGATTGGGTTGAGGAAATATTTCATAACATCCTACAATATGATAAAAAGTTGCAATAATCATTCCCCACTTCCTACAGTGGCTCCCATTTATTTACATTTCACTCCGTGAAGACAGAATTTGTGAATCCCAACTTAAGACGTTATTACCTGCTTTATCAATCGGCGGTCTTGTTGAACTCATTGCTAGTCAACACTTTCCTACATATAGTCTTCATTCATATATCTCCTTTTTATTATTATATATTAATTGAGAACGTGCTGAGTCTATGTGGCAGACTCGCATGCTTCGGGATCCTATGTGGCAAAAATATATGCTTCGTTATTAGGCTTGGGTAGATTTAGTTTACTTCTAATCCAAATATATTTAGGTTCGGATTATCTATAATATGTTGATTATTTATGGTAAGGGTGGACGCCGGCCCGGACGGTGCTGGATTTGACTTGTCCGGATACCCATCCCACTTTTATGAACCCGTCCATGAACAGTTCGGGATGAGATATCGTCGGCACCCATGTAATACATGGTGTTGTATTAGTTATTTCTTAATTGCAGAGACTCATTCTTCCTTGGGATTATAAATAAATAAATTAATAAATCCCTAAACTGTATAAATAGGCATAAGTATGCATATGTGATAAAAAACATTGGTGTATAGAATCTGCATAAAAAAAAGATGGATTTGTTGAATAATCCCTTACTTTTCCCAGCTCTGATAGCAGTTTTTGCAGCATGCCTGATAAGGATGGTGTTTGGGAAGAAGGATAAGAAGAGATACCATCCTGTTGGGCCAACACCCTTTTTCCCGCACCCTTTTTCCCCCTGTTTCTGTCAGTTACGGGTGGATTGGCATCTCTATTATAAAAATAGAGAGTTATGATTTTCATTATAATCACATGTCCTATATATATGTGTATATAAATCTAAATGATAACAATTATTACAACGATAATTCAATTACAGCAGAAGAAAAATAATAATTTATATTTTACATAATTAATTCAATTGATTGGGTTGAGGAAATATTTCATAACATCCTACAATATGATAAAAAGTTGCAATAATCATTCCCCACTTCCTACAGTGGCTCCCATTTATTTACATTTCACTCCGTGAAGACAGAATTTGTGAATCCCAACTTAAGACGTTATAACCTGCTTTACCAATCGGCGGTCTTGTTGAACTCATTGCTAGTCAACACTTTCCTACATATAGTTTTCATTCATATATTACTTCTTAATTGCAGAGACTCATTCTTCCTTGGGATTATAAATAAATAAATTAATAAATCCCTAAACTGTATAAATAGGCATAAGTATGCATATGTGATAAAAAAACATTGGTGTATAGAATCTGCATAAAAAAAAGATGGATTTGTTGAATAATCCCTTACTTTTCCCAGCTCTGATAGCAGTTTTTGCAGCATGCCTGATAAGGATGGTGTTTGGGAAGAAGGATAAGAAGAGATACCATCCTGTTGGGGGCACTATTTTTCACCTTATGCTCAATTTCAACAAGCTCTATGACTATCTTACTGACCTCACTCACAAAAACACCACTTTTCGAATCCTTTACCTCGACAACGCCGAAATCTACACTTCGGACCCTGCTAATGTCGAGTATTTCCTCAAGACCAACTTCGCGAACTACGGCAAGGTATGAATAAATCAGTATATTATTTTAAAATGGTTTTTTAGCTGCGATTAATGATCCGAGTTGCAGAGGTGTTCTAGTGTTGCTAAAGTTTAAAGAATTACATGATTACTATTGTACTTAGCCCTACAATATCACGTTTTTAATTTAATTGAAGTGTTCTAGTGCCACTTTGTGCGTGTGTGTGGGGTGGATACATAGGTGAGTTTGGTTTCACCTGGAATTGGCAAATTAGGCTTAAAATCATTATCTCTTAACTCTAGATTTCTGATTCACAAGATGAAATGTATGCTGACTAATTTGCAGGGTTCGTTTCACCACGATGTCTTGGAGGGCCTTCTAGGAGATGGTATCTTCACAGTCGATGGCGAAAAATGGCGACAGCAAAGAAAAATGTCCAGCTACGAATTCTCAACTCGAAACCTCAGAGACTTTAGCAGTGGAGTCTTCAAAACCAATGCTGCTAATCTCGCTCACATAGTTTCTTCAGCTGCGAATTCGAATCAGATCATAGAAATCCAGGTCATTTATGTTCTGTTTTTTCTTGTTAATCATCTTGTCCGGTCATAAATAAAATTTAGTTTTGGATTTACAATTTCATGTGTGTCTAATTTTGTAGGCGTTGTTCATGAAATCGGCACTGGACACGGTTTTCAAAGTCGTTCTAGGTGTCGACCTGGACAGCATGCGCGGGAAGAACGAGGGTTCCCATTTTTCGGAGGCTTTTGACAAAGCAAGTGAGATGACATGTTATAGATATGTGGACATATCGTGGAAGATCAAGAAGTTTCTCAACATCGGTTCTGAAGCCACACTCAAGGAATGCACTAAAATCATCGATGCATTCGTTTTCAAGGTCATCGAGAGCAAGATGGAACAAATGAGCAAGCCCAACCAAGTCAGATATCTTTCTTTTAAATTATCTTTTCATTATTATGCTTTTCTTAATGAAGAAATCAACATAACGTGTGTTGTGAATGAACGGCAGACGAACAGAAGTGATATACTGTCGAGGTTTCTGCAAATGGACCAAAAGGACCCTAAGTACCTGAAAGACATAATACTGAGTTTTATAATTGCCGGTAAGGATTCCACTGGAAGTGGGCTCTCGTGGTTTTTCTACTTGATGTGCAAGCACCCAACCGTGCAAGAAAAGCTTGTCAAGGAAGTTAAGGAGGCAGCAAAGCTGGACGAGAGTTCAAGCATTGACGAGATAGCAATGAGTCTTACAGAGGAAGCACTCGATAGAATGCACCTTCTGCACGCAGCTCTTAGTGAGACTCTGAGGCTATATCCGTCAATTCCAGCGGTACTAATCTGGAAATTTAGTGGTCTGCAAATTATTGCAAATTATTGTTGTTGTTAACATCATTTTTTTTTTTTTTTGGATTTTTTTAAATTTTGTGTGTACCTTTCTAGGATGGCAAGATGTGTTTTGCTGACGATACATTCCCTGACGGATTCAGTGTTAAGAAGGGGAATTTGGTGTCTTATGTACCTTACTCTATGGGAAGGATGAAATCTTTGTGGGGTGAAGATGCAGAGGAGTTTCGGCCTGAGAGGTGGCTCGATGAGAATGGTGTGTTCAGGCACGAGAGCTCTTTCAAATTTACAGCTTTTCAGGTAAGGTGTCTCACGCGAATATCAAATAATGGGGGATTTGTAGTTTTTATAGAAAATTAGTAGTTTTACATAATCAGGCTAAACCTCGGGAATATAATTTCTAACTTAACCCAAACGTAAATCACTTACGTGCTAATGCAGGCTGGCCCAAGAATTTGTCTCGGGAAGGAGTTTGCATACAGACAGATGAAAGTTCTTGCGGCCGTGCTGCTGAGTGCTTTTTCTTTTAAGTTGGCTGACGAGACAAAACCGGTGAATTACCGAACCATGTTGACTCTGCAGATAGATGGAGGCCTCCATCTTCGTGCTGCTTCCAGGATTATTAACAAATCAAATGAACAAATAAGTACAGTAGAATAAGCACATTAGTCTGCTTTTCCCATGTAAACTAGTGTGAGCAGTGATGCTTTGCTTCTTTTTAGAGTGAGCCTTTTCTACTAAGGCAGGCTGATTGATTGTTAATTGTGTGCTTTTGTATCAATATCACAAAGTATGGAATATAATGTATGTAGTAAGCAGTGTAAGTGTTTCTATGTCAAGAATGGTGAATGACTTATTGTGTGTTTTGTTGCAATTTTTGTTTCTATGTCAAGAATGAAGAATAAAGTAATGTGTGTTTTGTTTTAAGTTTTGTGAAAAAGGGAAAACTATTGGGTACTATTGTTACAAAACTGAACTAAAACTTGAAATGAAATTGCAACTGATAGGGGCTAATGATAAAGGTTTACCTGTCACTCTTTTTGTAGGACGAATACGTCACATATGATGTCAATGAGTTTTAACGTTTTGTTCCCAAAGATACAAGACATTTCCAAAGCTGTAGCAAATTAGGCTTTTAGAGTTTCGACGAACTTGAAAAATTGTCGGTTGAAGTCAGTTAGGTGTGCTCTTATCGGGTGAAACAAATCGAACCAATTTGGGATACTTTAACCTAAAATAATTCAAATATATTTGCGTTGAAACTTCAATATGAGTTGAGCTCAAAGACCTAAACCTATAATCGGGCCATTGTCACCCGAGGCCGGTCTAGACTTCAAGCGCCTAAGACCGTAAGACCTGATATCGTAACTTACCCGCAAACTTTTGAAGACTCCAAACTTATGACCCGATAAGTCAAACGATGTCTTGACTGCATCATCGTAACACCCAGGGTGGAGCCATCCATGGGCTAAGGTGGGCTCCAGCCCCAAGTAAATTAAAAAAAAAAATTACTTTACATTTTAGATTATTTGTGGGCTAATTTACAGGTATTCTATAAGATTTATAAATAATTGCACAACCACGATTAAGGGTAAATAATTAGCAAACCCACGACTTCAATGTCAAATATTTGTAAATATACGATATTATATGTTACCAAAGGAAGACGATTTCTGTTCAATTTACGTGGAATTCGTGATCAACAAAAAAAGGAAAAAAACAGATTCCGTTTTTTCCTCCACTTCATAATCGCCACAACAGACGACTTCATTCATCGTCCTCATCACTATTTTCTTTTTCACATCTTCTCCTTTTTCATGGACATCCGCCAACCACTTTTTCTTCTCCTTCGGCGTCTTTTTTTTTCTTTTCTTTCTACAAAAAGAGACACTAAACAAGATTCTGATTTTGTTCAAGACGAAGAAATCGACATGGACGAGTTGAGTCTCGACGAGAACTTCGTTGAAAATGAGAGATGAAGTTTAAAATCCCGGTCGGCGGCCGCTGGTGAAGGAGCTTTCAAGCCGGAGATGCTGTGGATCCCTGCAGTTCTTTTTTGAAGAGACGATGATGGACTCTAGCGCCCCCGCTTTCGACGGGCAGTGGTTCGCTAGACTCGGAGACGAGCGGCAGCAGCCATGGGCTCGTCTCGGGAATTCAAAGTCTCAGTACGCGACGACAACCCAGCTTGTGAGCAGCAACGACATTTGAAGAGTTTCGATCGGATTGTTTCAATGTTTATTTTATGTTTATGTATAGTTTATGTTTAGTATATTAGTAGATTTTTTTGTTGATTATTGTTTATGTTGCTTTGGATATTCATTTTGATGAAAACTTGGTGTGCTTGAATCTGTTTTGACGAATAACTTGGTGTTGTTTTGGTATTCATTTTATTGTTGAGGAATAACTTGGTGTTGTTTTGACCATGATTGAATCCGTTTTGACGAAATACTTTTCAGAGGATAATTGTCGAACAATTGATGTGCTTGATTCGTTGATACATAGTTATATTCTATATATGTTGTGGGTATATACAGTATATTTTCAGTATATGTTTCCGTCCGAGTAATGTAGCATCCTTCCAAAACGAAGAAAGCACATGATGAGATTGATTCAGTTCTTGGACAGGAGAGAACTACATATATACAGAATATATACTACAAACATACTCTATAAAGATTTTAAGAACCATCACATAAACATAAACAGTATATATGTACGAAAAATATACAATATATATATAAAAAAAATACAGTATATATACTAAAACTAACACAAACATACTTTATAAACATTATATATACGACAAATATACAATATATATACCAAAAAACATATTGTAAATCGCAAGCCGACACACAAATTTTTTTTGGACTTTTTTGTTTTCCGTCGATGGGTTCCAATAGGACCTCTTCAGCCCAGAAGCGAATATTGAAATAACATCAAGATCCACAAATCCTGCAACAAATCCAAAAGCGCCGCCCCACCACGAACAGCGCCGCCCCGCCTTCCTGCAACAAGGAAATTTACGCAAATTTCTTCAGCTTCTGACGACCGTTTTCGCCACAAACAACGCCGCCCCGCCTCGGCCCTCCCCCTTGAAAGGCAGATCCACAAATCCTGCAACAACATCAAGATCACGATCTTCTGCGACTTCGTCACCATCCTCATTCTTTGCGGAACAATCGGGTTTCTTCTGAACGAGATTGCCTTTATCTCTTATTAATATTTGTCTGATACGAGAACTAGATCTCCTCTCTTCATCACTACCGGCGCCGCGAGTGTGAGTTTCACAGGGAATTTTGGTTTTATCCATAAACTTTGGTCTTAGGGTTTAAGAGGGAGGCGTCTAGAGTGGAAGAGAGATAATAAATTAGATACGTGGGAGAGAGATAAAAAATTAGATACGTGAGAGATGATAAATTAGATACCTGGGAGAGAGAGAGGATTAATGAGGCGTCTGTTCACATTCTCGTAAATTCACAAATAAAATTACATTGGATGTTAATTTTGCAACAGTTTTTGTTTCAATAGTAAGCGTATAAATAAAATGTTGAAGCGTCGTGCCCCGCATAATTTCCTCTTATCTATATATATATAAAGAGGTTGTTGGAAAAATACATTAATAGAAAGTTTGACCAAATAAATATAATGTTTGACTTACTATTAATGAAAGTTTGAAAAAATACATGTGAATCTTTAGTTACAAAATTTGAATCCTATTTTTTTGGTAACTAATTTGGAGATTCTTATGGAAAAATTTGAATCCCATTTTTTTTGTATCATATTATTTTTTTTTACCAAAATTTAAATCATATATTTTTTGGTAACAAATTTGGAGATTCTTATGCAAAAAAATGTGTCAATTATTTATAAAAATAATTCTAAATACAAATGAACTTAAAAACCATACAAATTGGATACAAATTTAGGAAACAAATAGTTGTATAATTCTTAACCAATTCTTCCAATCTTATTGAATAATTTTTTATTTAAAAAAAAGTGTGTAAATTGGATAAAACCACGTGCAATTTTATTTTAGAATCAAACTGATATTTGGACGGGATGTACATTCAAAATTGTGTCCAAATTTTTTGGTAATAAAAGCGGTTCATCTTTGATATTTAAAGTCACCTTATCCAATTATTTAGGAAAAATTGTGTGCAACTTTTCAAAAGTTAAATGCATCGATTTTTTTTTCTTATGTTTTTTCTTAACCATGTTTATATCATTTTTATTTTTGGTTAAGTTCATATCATTTTCTTTAGGAAAGAGACAGTTGCATAAACATTAACAAATTGTTTCAATTCAATTTGTTTGGTAAAAAAATCGGTGTAGTGTCAGGAAAATTCGGTTGCATTTGTAGGAAAAATTGATGATTTTTTTATTTGGTTAAAAAAAATATTCGAATCAATTTGTTTGATAAAAAAATCAGTTTATTGGTAGGAAAATCGGTTTCATTTTCAGGAGTAATTAATGATTCTTTTTATTTTCTTAATTGAAATTTAGAATTAGATTTAAAATTAATAATGGATGAAAATCGCTAAAAATTTCTACTTTTTTCTACTATAATTAGTTTAAGTAATAAGATCCTTTAATATTTATAAAATTTGTTAACTAATAACTAATAATATACAATTTTAGATAAAATTCACCTATGTAGTATTTTACGTGCCAATGAATCAAACCAATAATGTTGTACATAAGGAAGTGTTTAATAATATATAAATTTTCATTTTCATGGTTTTTTTTTGTGTCATGAGACAATTTAAATACAAAAATATCTTTTAAAAAATAAATAGGTAGTAAATGCTCTCGTGCATCGCACGGGTACCGTACTAGTTTTTGTGTATAGCCCCATGTATATTTATGTTAGCCCATTTTTTGAATTTGCCCAATAACATAAGCCCAAAAAAATTTTAAGTTAGCCCAACAATAACAACAACAACAACAACATACCCAGTATATTCCCAACAAGTTGGGGTTTGGGGGGTCAGTTGTACGCAGACCTTACCCTTATAATTATACAAGGAGGCTGTTTCCGTAGCGACCCATAGTGGGCCGTTTGATTTTTTTTTTTTCTAGAAACTTCACTAATAGAAGAAACACTAGAATTTAATAGAGTCATTTTGATCTAGTCCAATATTAGCACTATGCCAGGAGAATTGTCAACAATGACTCTTTCAACAATAAAAGCCCAAGATATTAAAATCCATTACCTTCCTTCTATCCCAATTCCCAATTTATCCATTAATTAGTCTGTTCACCATTAATTAAATGTTAAAAAGGCCAAAAAAAAAAATCTCACAATCAAGGGAACATATATAGCACAACTTTAGCATTTCTTATTTTATTTGTAGCTCAATGTAAATATTAGTCTAGCTCAATTTAGCTCATATGTTTTTTAGGAAGAAACTCAATAATTTATTATTTTTTCTTTCTTAAAAGTAGAAGATGTTGGAACCTTTTCTTATTAAAAAAAGAAAGACACAAAGTATTGCTTATTCTAATTTTATTTTACAAATTTTTAAGAAAATTGTATTAATGTTTATTTTAATAGTGCAATGAAGATATTTCTTATGTTTTGTAATGATCAAGAGTTAATATGAATTGATTTGTGATGAAAAAATTAGAAATATACTTAGTTTGAATTTATGAACATAACTTGTTTGATGAAAGCACAACTAAATATTTGAGATAATATAATTTAAATTTGTATAAGCTAAGAATTGATTATTTGGACATGATATAAGTCTCTATATACTTTTTCTTTTATAGTTTAATATGTTGTTTTTCTTCTTATTGTTTTTTGTTTTTCTTATTTTGGTTAAATCATATTGAATCATTTTATTTAAAATAATATTGGTTATTTATGTAATTTATATTACATTACATATGGAATATATCAATTACTCTATATTTTAATTTTATATATTTTGTTTCTTCTAGAATTCCAATAGAATATTTATTTTGTGATTGAACTTATGGATTTTAATAATTTAGTTTTGAC